GGGAGGAGCAGAACAAAATGTAACACATTAATCAAAATGATAGAGATAGCTGGCTCCCTGTTATTGCTGTGATAATTGTTTTTTGGGGTTTTTTTGTTTGTTGGTTTGCTTTTTAGCCAGTCATCATGTTAGAGTAGGGGGATAGTGATGCAATGCTGGTTGCCTGCTGATGAAAAGAGTTACCCTTAGATAGAGATCCTATTTTGTTATAAAAATACCCAGGTCAAGCCATTCCCTTTGATTCTGACTCTTGATTGCAATAGTGTGAGATGCAGGATTGCATTTTTTCAAAGATAATACTTAGGCCTATATATAACTTAATAGTTGTAAAGGGCATAGAGCATGCTCTTGAGCATGGAATGCGCTATATATAAATGCAGTTATTATTTATTATTATAACTTAAAGTGACAAGCTTGGGTGGTGGTGCTATTTTTAAAATTTTTTTTAGGTTGACTAAAAGTAACATGCGGTCAGTATTAGGTTTTTTTTTTGGTAACCAGGTGAGTTAATAAAAAAGTTTAATTATGCATCTTGAGTGAGTGAACAAAGTCATTGTATGTTGTCAGTAAGCTCATTCACAATAGGGGTGGGCAAAATCCGGATAAACTATTCGTTAATCGGATAATTCTCAATGAAACATTTTCCAAATTCTGACTTTTAACTCTCTTTCCTGACTCGTTTGCAGAAGTGGGTGCTCCTAATTGTTGAAATGATACCAATACCCGTTTATCGAAGTGATTCTTACCCGTTTACCGAAGCGGTTCAAAACATATTATTTGCCGAAGAGGCGAACTAAAATATAATCCGGATTTTGCTAAAGCGACTCATTGCCCAGCCCTAATTCGCAGGCTAGAGAAGCAGGTTTAAACTATATTTTGGCGAGTGCTCTAGTGTCCAATTTGCTCCACCTTCTTTCAGGACTGTCAAACATCTGTCGGCCTTATCTCTCGTCCTTCTTTATTTTTGTGTGTATGTGTTTGTTACCCTCTTGTAACACCTCTAATCTTCAGCACTTTTATGTGAATGACCGTATTGTGTTTCAAGTGCCATAAAACTCTCACTCTACTGAATAAAAAACACTAGATTTTTATCAAAACTTTAGACTTATTTATATTTAATAAAAGACTTTAAAAATACAGTTCTTGAATCATTGTAACAGAACTTCTTAGATAGATACGAATACATGTTGTATGTCCAATTAACACTGTCAAAAAATAGAAGATTTAAGTTTACGATGTCCAAGGTGGAGCATTAATTAAGATTCAGGTCACTTCACCTCTAACTTCTAGGTCACTCCTTGTTACTTGTAAGTTGTTGTACATTTTCGTACAGACCAGAGTTCAGGGACTGGCCACGATCTACGGTGCATTTGCCGAATTTGCATGTGATTATTTCACGCTTCTAAGACGACGGGAAGTAGATAATTATTGCACAGTACTATAAGCTTCGTTCTGCATTATAATGATAATTTCTCTCCTGTGTGGGGCTGGCCTCTGAGGTAGACGGAGAGATAAGACACAAAGTTCTTATCTGTGTGTCGATTGACACTCTGTCCAACAAGTACAGTAGTGAAGGGAGTGCTCGGCTTAACGGACATCCTTGGAGGATTTTACTTGTCCCATATGTTTCCACTGCGCTACCGAAGTAGTAGTCTGGTAGTAGTAGTAGTAGTTTAGTAGTAGTAGTAGTAGTAGTAGTAGCAGTAGTAGTAGTTAGTAGTTTAGTAGTAGTAGCAGCAGCAGCAGCAACGTAGTAGTAGTAGTAGTAGTAGTAGTAGTAGTAGTAGTAGTAGTAGCCGCAATGTAGTAGTAGTAGCAACGTAGTAGTAGTAGAAGTAGCAACGTAGAAGTAGTAGTAGTAGAAGTAGTAGAGTAATAGTAGTAGTAGTAGTAGTAAAGTATTAGTTTAATAGTAGTAGTAGTAGAGATTTTGTCTCTTTATGGATCGGATGGGAATACATTTGCTCAGAACTATCTTAATATCGGGTGCTTGGACAACGTGATAATGGTAATAACTGGTATTGATGATAATTCATGATCTGATAAACGAATTATTTTAAGTATGATAATGATGGGAACAGTAAGGGAAATAAAATCGTGCTAACAACGGGGATAATTAATATAATTTGATAAATCTGATGGCACGAGTAGAGAAAATGATCATTCCAACAACAATAATGATAATTGAGCGATAATCATTAGTGAAACTAGAAGTAAATAGAAGCAGGTTGTTTTTCTCAAATGCTGAGGTGTTTTTTTTCTGGCTTGAAACTTTTACCATTGTTGATTTCTGCTTTTTGCTCATGTGCATAGAAAATATTCTTCTTACTACGATTAATGCATTCTATTTAATTCAATCAATGTAGATAGTCGTAGACGTAAATTTATTTTTTGCAGGGGAAATAATTTCTCGGTGACTGAATTATACACAAAATTAAATATATTGGGGAGCATTCTTTCAAATAACTGGGTTAAGTTACCTCGTAGGATTGCTTCGTCTGCAAATATTGTGTAGTTTGGTCTATTTTTCAGTCACCAAGATTTTATATAGGAGAAGAACTTTACCAGCTGCTTAAAGTACACCTTGGTTATTGAGGAGATACTACTACACGTGAACATTACGGGTTGTGTTGACTGATAGCGACATGTGTAGTTGACCTGTTTTAGTTTTTAAGCAGACTAAAAGAGATAAAAGCAGTGTGCGAGTCTTCATTTCCAGTCGGAAGCATTCTCCCAAGATAAGCTGTTAGTGGAAGGTTTTCAGCGGCCACTCGAGAGGCCTTAAAATTTTTTTTTTAGTCTGAGGGTTAATAGATATTGTTTTTTTAAACTATGGCTTACTGTGGGATTTACTTCATTGAAGGAATTCTGTTGGGACGATCGGATCTCCTAACGCGGATGCTGAAGTGGAACAGCTGTCATTTGCATTGCTCGCCTTGCTGTTGGTAATTGTAGAAGGTGCTTGGATTTAAACTTTTCTGCGAAGCAAGAAGGAGCTTTGTTCCGCGTCTCCCAAACATGGCGCCTTCATCAACCCATGGCAGCAAGTCGATGGAGATCAACAAGTCAGGAGTCACGCTCCAGTCGGACGCGGACTCGGACAGAGATGGCAGCAGCATCAACCTCAAGCCAAAGATCACGCTCATGAACGGGATCTCCGTCATCGTCGGCTGTATCATCGGGTCGGGGATCTTTGTGAGCCCCCGCGGGGTCCTCCTGCACAGCGGCAGTGTGGGCTTCTCCATCGCCATCTGGGTCCTGTGTGGACTCTTTTCTATGGTCGGGGCCTATTGCTACGCCGAGCTGGGCACGTCCATCGTGCGCTCCGGTGCGGACTACGCGTACATGTACGAGGCTTTCGGCCCTTTTGTGGCCTTTGTCAGGTTGTGGGTGGAGTGTATCATTGTCCGACCCTGCACCACCGCCATTGTGGCCTTGACCTTTGCCAACTATGTGATCGAGCCGTTGTTCCCCGACTGTGATCAGCCAGAGCTAGCTGTGACGCTGCTCGCTGCTGTCTGTATCCGTGAGTTTTCTACTTGAAATATTTTTTTACAGTTGAAATTGTTTAAGACAGCCAGCCAATGTTGTCAAAGAGAAAGTCGTTGTCTTACACAGTTGGACCTTTTGGACAGTGTCATTGTGAGAGAGCGAGTGGTTGGAGGGTGCCACTGGTAGGTCCTACTTCTTTACTTTCCCTCTTTTGTTTTTGTCTGTCTGTCTGTCTGTCTGTCTGTCTGTCTGTCTGTCTGTCTGTCTGTCTGTTTGTCTGTCTGTCTGTCTGTCTGTCTCACTGTTTCCCAGCACTAAATGACCATTATTGCGTCAATTTGCTTGTTCTCCTTATTCAAACAAACAAACAAACAAACGAATTATTGAAGAGAAAAATGTAAGGTGGTTAGTGGGAAGTGGGGGTTTGCACAAGGTGATGATTGCCTGTGGCAAGTGGTTGTTAGAGTGGGGTCTAGTGTGGGTTGTAGTGTTATAATTTCCTTTTGTTTGAGTCACTGCTCTCAGCAGCATCTATCAGTGAGTTACTACGTACGGGGCAAATCGTCAAAGACGGCCAACCGTTTTTGAGGAGTGAAATGGCTATCTTATACATGTGGATGTCACACACAGGTGGCTGTCTTACACAGGTGGCTGTCTTCCACACTGCCATTACAATGTAAAAAATACTCGAGGAAAGAAATGGGAAGTGGTCATTTGTACGGGATTGTCTTTTCTACAGGTGGCCTTAAAGGGCAGGTTCAACTATTACTGTATTGTGTTTCTTGTTTGTTTATTATCACCAGTGGGCCGTGGGTGGTTGGAGGGTGCCATTAGTTGTTTCAGGTCCTACTTCTTTACTATACTTTATGTTCCCTCTGTTTGTTTCTATCTGTCTGTCTTTCTTTTCCCAACACTAAATGACCATTACACTGACTTGATGTGCTTCTCTTTACTCAAATAAAACAAAGGTTTTTTAAGTAAGTTTATTCAGTGTTTAAAAAGGCCATTGGCCCTCATCACATTCATTAAAAACACTCTTTGTTAAATAAAGTTTCCATAAAATAAAGTGGGTGGTTGGCGAGTGCTCTGGTGTGGTTTGCTCCTTCTTTCGTGTCAAACATCTGTCGTCCTTCTCTCCCCTCCTTTTTTTTGTGTATGTTACTCTCTCGTAACACATATTCTATTCTTCGGCACTTATATGACTTTATTGTGTTGGAAGTGCCGTAAAACTCTTACTAAAACTAAAACTAAAATAAAAAAGTACAGGTTGTGCTCATATATATCTCTATCATGGGTCAAACATTGCATATATATATATATATATATATCTGTCTCTGGGCTGAGTCAGGCTGTGCCAGGAGCAATTAACAATTTTTTTATATGGACAAATACAACACAAATGAACTAGTGGACTTGAATGTGGTTAGTGGCTGCTCTGTGTGGTTCTGTCGTTCTTTCCTCTATCAATCATTCATTCTTACATTTCTCCTCTTTCTTTTCTTTTTATCTTACTTTTTAGCAACACTCCTAATCTTCAGCTCTTGTATTTATTATTGTACAAGATATGACCTTATGTGTTGCAAGTGCCGTAAAACTCTTTTTACTTAATGCAGTATGAGACTTGAGCTGTTGTGGTGGGTCTATTTTGTTTGATGTGGCTGATGGGGAGGGATTTGTATGCACGTGACAAGGCATTAGGTGAAAATGTTCTGCTCCTCAGTGTTTAATTTGCTTGTTCTGTACATCAGTATTCAGTTTTTGCATGTTCTGTACATCAGTATGTTTAATTTGCATCCATGAATTTGAGATCAGATACTTGGCTTTCCACAAAAAGGGCAAGATAGATATATAGATGCTTTGATGATTTTTAAGTAGTACTGTAAAATTTGACAGCAGGTCCCTTCATTAAAACTATCATGGGTCTAGAATATTGCTGTCCATCTGTCTGTCTGTCTGTCTGTTTGTCTAACTCTTCTCTTTCACTCCCTCTCACTCACTCACTCTCTCTCTCTCTCTCTCTCTCTCTCTCT